TGGCTGAGTCTTTGCGTTGTATTACAAGGATATACTTTTTGTTCCATAAAATACACTTTTTCTGATGTGAGGGGAGTCCAAAATATTTATGAAACGCTTTGACAAAATTTTTTGTTCACCTTCGAATTTCTGAAAAAGTTAAACTAGGGTCAACCTCTAACTATTGATGGGGGATGTGTATTTCAGTCAATTTATACACTTTTTAATGATTAATAATAATTTAGTAACGGTCGATACGTTGAATATGATTACATGGGAAAAGATAAGTCCCGAAAGTTATACATTTCCAAAAAGCTTTCAAAGCATCTAGTAAGTATAGTAAGTACATTGAATTGTTTTGGCAATTAGATTCTATTTTGACAATTAGCCCTCTTGGAGCAAGAGGAATGCGGCAGTTTTCAAAAGATCTTCCTCTCACTTTATGTAATTTCGCTAGGACAATTTTGGGTTCAAATAAATCATAAAAAACACGCAAGTGTTTATTTTTCTCTAGATTAAAAGCTGCTTCTTTGTCGAAACGTAAGTTTGAAAAAATTTGATATTTTTTCCAACAGCGAATAGAGACAGCAAAGGTACACCTCTAGCATACGCTACGAAGACAAAAACTTTCGTTTTTTTTCTACCTCCCTCTCTACTCCTATTCCTTTCTGTCATGAGTGAAGAGAAAAAATAAGGAGAAATAGAGAGAGAACCCGTCAGTGCACGCGCTTATACGTAGGTATATAGTCGGGCCACTCACTTTTTGTTTTTTCCACATGCGAGTGGGCCATCAGTCGAGAGCGCGAGAGCCTAAATAATTGTTCTGCTTGTCACACGGAACTAATTCGGGGGAAGTCAGGCACCTGTGAAGGCATTGTCAGGCTTTGTCTATGCTTTCAATAGAAAATAAGAGTTTTTTTTTTCTTACTTTAGGACGGAAGTAGAGGAAGATAATTGAAAAGTGGCTGGTGAACCTATTTACTGAAACTTGAGTGTCTCTACGAATGCTCTACTTAATTCAGCTTCAATGATTATTTAGAGACCTTCGAGATCTTCGCCAAGTAATCTGAAAAATCATAGCATTTTTGAATAGAATACTTTTACAAGAGTAGATGTACAGACATTATTCGGCAAAAAAAGTACCTACCGGCAGCGTTCAAAGTAGAACAAAGCCGAATTTGGTCAGACGTAGGCTCCTTCGCATTTAGAGCACAGTAAACGACAGGATTTCAACTTCTATGAAAAGAAGTTAAGTACCCTGTCCCATTGTAGATGAAATACGTTGTCAAAAGTTTTTTATGGACAGCTCAACAATAACTTTTGAATTTTACATCCAAAAGGAAATTACAGAGATTTGGAATATAGCTTTTCAATCATACATCAATACAACGATATAAATTTTCAAAAATAAATCAAATCATTAGAAATGCAAGTCTAAATTATTACCATTACCAACTTACCATTTTTAAAATATGACACTTTACATTGCCAAAAAAATTGAAATTCTGAGTTGAAAAAAAAAGGGAAAAAAGTAAAAAAGTTGTTCTGGCCCAAGGAATATAGCAACGTACGCGCTTCCAAGTCGCCGTTCATTTAAAGAAGAGAAAAAGAAAACAGGAAGATCCGCATTCGCCAGTAATAATAGTAAAAGTATAAGGTTAAGCGTGAATCACGAAACACATTGGTATTGGCCAGGTGCATGTCATGCAGCGCCACCCTTGGTGTCAAAATCATGCAACCGCGGGTACCCACATTACACGTCAACAGCATACACCGATGCACACTTTTAGTAATAATCAATTAATTAGCAAAAAATTATTGTATTTATTCATCTGATAATGGATGTTACCATAAAAACAGGCTTTAGGAATATCACACACTCGATTTGTTTTAACTCTGAAGCCTTAAAAAAAAGGTAAACAGTTGGTTGAAAGTAGTCATAGGTGCAATGTTACAGAATTTCATAGTGATGAAGTTAGCAATTTGACAAGTGCCGTCGTAATAAGGCAGACCTCGGTAACTTCAGCTCCCTACAAAGTTAACCTGCATGAACGTTTTATTCAGATTATATTGAAAATTGTCTAAGTTGCAATGCGCATAAAAATTACCTTTATTTACAGTTGGATAATCATCGAAGTTTATGTAATTTTACTCTATCTGTCTTTGCGCTACTGTTACACTGAACAACACAGTACTTTCTTACACCCATATTTCATAAGCGTTTAAATAATAGAAATCACAATGATCATGTCTTATTTCGCGTATTTATATTTCTTTTTGCTGTCTGCTTCTGAGAGTGTACTCTGGATCGAAAACTAACGAGGCTTCATTAATATATTGCTACATTCAAACATTTTACAACCGTTCTTGGCACCACATAGTTCATTTTTTTACATTTGTGTAACTGCAATTTCATAATATTGATACTATTTATTCATATGTGATGATAACATCTGTAAATTTGACGAAATACTGTTTTCTTTCCTTAATTAAGCAAAAATGACAGTAATTTGGTACCCCAGGTTTCCTATTTTCGCCACTACGCACGCTGGCGTCGACTCATCTATCCCCTCCCATCACTTGCACCTGGCCAATACATAGGTACACGGTGGTACGCGCGAGAGTTACGCTCGACGAAAGTGAATCTTTTCCCTCTCACTCTCTCCTGGCAGCGCAATTGACATAACTCGCCGAGGCCCACTGACACACTTATCACGGATTCATGCTTACAATGGCGTGCGGGCGCCTCGACTCGTATGCACACGAGTAAAAAAAAATATATATACATACATATACGTTTACACGTCCGTAACCAGAATCACCGAGAGTAAGTATTTGGCTGCGTTGGTTGTGTGAACGAGATGGAAGGAGAAAGGCGAGCAACCAACATTATGTACCTATACTTATTCACTTCGTGCAGCAATTTGAAACAACGCCACCTGCAGGGAAAAAGATGTCGATGCTAACTAACAAGAATACACAGTATCAGATAGACAATAATAAATTACAAGTGTTTATTTCAACAATAATAAATATTTAACCACTAAAATAAGTTTTCTCAGTCCCAAGTAGCATATTACTAGTAGCATACTACTTTTTTCTAATTTTATGAAAAAAAGTAAATTTCTTGTATGAAATGAATATAGTATATGAGTGAGCATAAAAAATATTACTTTTTAATGTAGTGATTAAAAATTACTTTACGAAATAAATTTATCTCCGAGAAGCATCGCAATACTTGTTGACAAAATACAACTATGAAAGAAGAAAAAAATCTTTGTACATTCAACACCCAAAAAAATTATTTTTGAGTTGTTAAATATACATTACTGTTGAAATAAACGCTTGTAAAAGATCATTATCCATAAGATTCTGCGTATTCTTGTTAGTTAGCATCGACAACTTTTCCCCTGCAGGTGGCGTTGTTTCAAATTGCTGCATGAAGCGAATATACACTGCTGGCACGATGGGCTGGACGAGTTACGTGCGGCTGATGCTGTCGGTTGGAAAAGAAGAAAGTTCACTTTTGCGTCCACACTTACATGCCGTATGGATATCATGTGAAGCGTGGCGTATACATATATACGCATACACGATAGCACTGCACGACATCGTTCCGCTCTTTTCAGGTACATCACTTTCAACTTCGCACGTGGAATTCCCTAAATGACTTGCTACGTGGAGTACACTCGAATTATCCGATAATTTTACCTCGTCGTCGCGTTCATTTGTTGTAATCGAAAAAGTCTCCCACCCTTCACGTCTTGTATACGCTGACTCATCGTGTGATAGAAGAGCAAGTTTACGAAGAAATATGTTCACTTACTTACGCGTGGAGCTGGCCTTATTCGGTACCACCATGGTATACCATGTTATACCTTATAGAAGCAAATCAGTTTGAGTGACCACTACCGGAAAATCCTTGTCTCCTTTTCCTTAAAACTGCGTGCAGTTGAAATAATTATTGTAGTATACAGTTAAACTCAAAAATAAGTTTCAGGTTTTTATTGTACTCTCAATTGACTATATCGTATAAAACAAAGAGTTCAAAATTAACATTTGGATCGAAAGTTACAGACAATTTTTGTAACTATTTTAGATTTTGTCAACTTTGATAAGAATTCACGAATCAGAAAGCTAATCCTTTATCAAAAGTCAATTGTGACGGTTTTTCTGTTTTTTTTTTTTTTTTTTTTTTTTCACATGCACGAATCGAACCGTTGATTTACAATTTTTTTTTAATAACAGAAGTTAAAAATGAAGTTGAACGGGAGTTAGAGATACAGTGTCATGATTTATTATTTCTTTCTCTACAAGAATTTAGTCACCTCCTCCACAACAAATAATAGTTTCCATCGTCAGTGGGAAAAATAGGATTCGCCAGATAAACACTATCGCTCCGCAGCTACCCTACGTCCCTCGAGCCGCAAAATAGCCCCGGCAGCCCGGAGACGATGGCATTCATCCGACAAAAACTACCGTTAAGTTTAATAATTAAAAAGTTCAACTAAAAAAGTAAGCTATAGATAAACAACATAATTATATCTGACAGCGAGTCTTTGATGGCATGTTGAAAACATTTTTGTAATTTTGTGGAGTACTTTGGAGAAAAACAAAGAGTTGTAAAAAAAATATTAATAGTTTCCTGTACTCAAAATCTGTATAAGTAATTGCACTTTTTCCAGAATTTTTTATAAATAAATCCATACATTTGTAATATTCACTATTGAACGTATGTTATACTTTATCTCGTAAAATTTTACCTCGATAGGTTTTATATTGTACTATCGTTATTAGGCTACTTATCATGTGCAGATTATAAATTCTCTCTTTCGAACAATAGATATAGTCAATATAGGCGTGCCATTTCTTTTTTTTTTTTTTTTTCTGAGCAATATAATTTTTTCAGAAACACACAATTTAGAAAAATACAATTTATACACTGCAAATGCAACACTTTGTCTACTTTCTGTCAACTTTTGTCAAGACAGTTGACACTTTGTGTCGCCACCACAATTATAAATACTATTAAACGTGAAAGTTTCAGTCAGCATACCAAGAGTTACGTACATTCACGGTTATCTCTTGGACTAACATGAAAGCATCCAATTTCTTCAACGCATATTCGAGAGACACAAGTGATAAACAACAGAAAAAAAATTTGTAATCTTCAAAAAGTTATAACATTCTGTTGTGGATGGAAATTTAAATGGCTCGTCTTTTTTAAGCTTAGAGAGCTTTTAACATTAATAATATTTTCTTACTTTTACAATGGTACTATCGTCTCAACACTTACGTCAAGTACTTTTTTCTTTGCACATGTTTTCCGATAGATACATATTGTCAGCAGAATTATAATAATACTGACAATAAACACAACCCCAATTATAGTAATGTATTTAAGTTTAAACTTGTTGCCCTTCGATTGCATCGTCTGTAGATGAATGGTATCTTTGATCCAGTCGAGATAGTCTGACACTCTGGTAAACACAAATGCCTGATATTTTCGATCGGTTTTAAACGGAGAGATCGTAATGCCTTGAAGCACGTCCTTTTTTCCAGTGATGCGCTCAATAAGTGGACTCCCAGGATACTAAGCATATAGATGGCAAAATTTATGCATATATAAAATGTGTTCTGTGCAAGAACATCTGTCACTTAGCGGTTTTCATAATACTCACATCGTATATACTGTACTTGCTGGTAAGTGTGCAAAATTGATCTTGAGGTAAAATGTAATTGTTCAAATGTTTACTGCATTGGTCGTGTTCCATCGCAAGGAAATCATAAGTTGAAAGACTATCTATTTGAATATTTTCATTCCACCCTGCCAAAATAAAACTTCCATACAATTCACGGGATGTTTTTTGAGAGCTTGGTAATTCAACTGGGTAGGCCCATTCCGATACTCTGACCGAACTGTTTAGTTGTAGCAGAGCAATATCGTGTTTTGGAAATGGTTCTTCATTTCTACGGTAATCAATTGGTTGATTTAGTAAAACTTTTGAGTGATTTCTAATTAGTATATACTACACAAAAAATTAAAACCCTTACCTGTAATCATTATGAACGGTAACGTTTTTTACTGGAATTTTTTGGAAGCTCTCCACTAATCCATTATAAGGGGTCTTGTCAGCAAAAATGAAGTAGTTAATATTTTTCTTGTCTTTTAAACAACTAGCAGTCGTCAAAACAAAAGTTTTAGAAATTAGAACCCCATTGCACATACGACCAGAGCTTCCGGTAATAAACACATGATAAGGAAAATTTTCGCCTTTTGTCAATTTAAGATCTCTGTTAATTTTTGCTTTTGACGAGCACCCACCAATACCTGAAAGAATAATAAATAATTGAAATTACTTTGTCACTCACGACTATCGGAGCTTCTTCATAGTATTAAAAATCTGTCCTAAGTGAATTTTAATATTTTGTGACATTTATTAAAATTTTTACAACTCACCTCTCAGTAGTACCATAATTATGAAAATGTTGTAGTAGACCATATTGTTGCTACTAAAATAAAATGGCTATTATTACACTCGGAAAAATATCACATGTATTTATAATTTTCTATGATGTAGTCTCCAAAAGTACTTTAATTTTATGTCATTCTAAAGTTGAAGATTTTAACCTAGCTAAAATATACTAGGGATATATTTACTTTGTATCAGGGCTAGGTCACGATGAATGGCCAGGAACTGATCAGGCTTGTATCACTTTATGTGACCATTACTTGGAGTCTGATTTCATGCTTCGATATGCGTGACACTGTTTAAGATTGACAGCCACACTACCCCAACCCAACGTGTACTTACACAAAAACATGAAATCTTCTACCTCTTGTAAGTGGCATGATGACAGTCAAACTTGACATATCCCTGATATCCCTGATAGTGTCCTCACTGCAAGTCTTGTATCAGTATTTGCTTATTGCGTCTCGGTAACCTGGAATGGAGACAAGTTAAAAAACTGCAGATTACTCTACCACCTTCAGTCGTATGCATATACACGTATATGAGAAAACCCACAAAAAATATCCCGTTTTTGTCCCCCATTTTAATAAAGAAAACTTTTTTGAGGCACACCTTCGAGATAGGGCTAATTTTACCCGTAGTGCCATGTACTATCAAGAACAAGTTTTGACTACGAGGTTATGTGAGGGTGACACCCTTTTTTCGTGGTTTACATGTTAAAATTATATCTATAGCTATCACATACATACATATAATATTAGCATGTAAATTGCAGGAAAGGGGTGTGACCCTCACTGAAATCCGTGTTCACAGTGAATGACATTATGAGTAAAATGAGCCCTATCTTGAAGGTGTGCCCCAAAAAAGTTTTCTTTATTAAAATGGGGGACAAAAACGGGATATTTTAAGTGGATTTTCTCATATATATTTATACTTATAATTATATTTATGTTTATATATGTATTTATGTTGATATTTATATTTATGTATGCAAAAACACAGGTACATTTTACAATGAATCACTCAGTTAGGAACGGTCGTGGTATAAACTAAAGAGAATAGTAAATTAAAACGTATTTTATAATTGTGTCCAAAAGTGTACTACAGTAAGAGCTTCTTTCATTCAAAAGTTGGACCAGCTGAACACATAGTATTTTATAAAGATCCACAACTTTGTCTTGAAACGCAAACGTCTAAAATGTACGTGAAAGAAGTTATTGTGAAAAAACTGGTTTTTGCTTGGTGCAGCACCGCAGTAAAAATAGTGGCAAAAATTTTCTGTCCAAGAAAAACTGTCCTCATGTAAACCATTAACTTTGATGTTGAACCCAAAGGTACCAACAAAATTTGAGCCTATTTAGATTACAATTATTTGAGTTTTTCACCCCGACGAAATTATAAGGTATTCCCATACATTGATCGTGCCTAAAAAGAGACATACGCAGAAATAATAAATGAGAATTAACAAACAATGTATTAAAGTAAAGTCTTTTTGAATTTTTCCATGACTAACGACCGATAACTAAAAATTTCAACTTAGCATCCGTACCCAATGTTATCTATTCAAGTTGTAAGGAACTTATTGAAACTTATTGAATTTCCATGACATGTACTCAAAATAATCCGATTGTGTACATATTTATACAATAAGGAGGAGAACCAAAAAATCAGTGAGTCTGCTAATATTAGACAAGCTTTTCTTTATTTTTTACATGAACAAAAACTATAACTGAGGTAAGGAGTGTTAAAGTTGATTTGTCAACTAAGTAACTTCACAATGGTGTTATGATTTTAAGTAAAATCGTGGGGTAAACTTTTTACAATGATGTAATGTATCACTTCAAAATTTAATGAGCTTCCTCTTTATCATTTGTTGTCCATACAAAAGAAGAGAAAAAGATTTTTCTTATATTTTTGGCAATTTACCTTAACGATACAATGTAAATCGAAATTTTTTACTACGTTCTTTCCAATTAGTGAAATAAATGAAATGAATTAAAAAAAATGTTTAATATGATAATCAGGCCCGAAATATTTAAAACATCTAGTAATCCTTTAACAACATCTTCCTTGACATGCTCAAGAGTATTTATACAGTACACAGTATGTACGGAGCAGTACACGAATAAGTATACATTCTGCTCAACATATAATACTTTTTTGAACCGATGAGGTAAATATTTACGTTAAGAAGATTTGGGCTGCTTCGTTTTATTTTATATGAAATACGTTATAATTGTTTCGACATGATAGATTGATAGGTTTTTAATGCAAGTGTGTTGTTAAAATTTGGTGTACAAAAAAAAATTCTTAAAATCAGGGAAACATTTATTGTAACACACGGAGGGAAAAATCATGGAGCTAACGCTTAGCGGCGATGGAAGTGCCCCCCCTTTTTTGAACCTATGTGATTGGCTCATGACGTGTGTGTATGCTTTCAACGCATGTAAGCTATAGCTCACAAGCATAAGCGCTAAGCACAAAGCAAACGAATAAAGGCAAAAATTAATATTTTCTCAAAATAAGAAAGTTTAATACTATTCTAAGGGATAAATATTTTTTTGAATCTAGGAAATTTTCTTTTAGTGTATGAATTGAAAAAATAAAAGTAAGTACTGTTATAAAATCTAACATTTTTGGTAGTCATTTCATATTGGGCAGAGTTTTTCATGTACTTACCATATAAAATGTAATCATTCATTTGCGACTCAGAGTTTTTTCACTACTTCATACACGTGTACAGTATACCCCTACCAGTGGCTCAGGTCACTCACATACCTATAGTACTATTACGCGGAATCGAAAGAAACTTCACTAAAATTTCAAAAGCGTGTCATCACTTTGTTTCAACACTTATAGTACCACGTGCTAGAGTATTTGATCGGTTAAATAATTAGTTTTTTAATTGACTCCATGTCAACTTATCCACGAGGATATACCGAGCAAAGTTAAGACGAAAAAAATAATAAAATCGTTATTTTAATCAATTGTTTTTGTTGTGTAAATGTCACCATTGTTTTCAGGGTATAGCTTTTTCTACAGCAAAGTAACGAAATATGACAGTCTACGCTGCACTTACCTTTCATCCGAAAAACAGGCATCTAAAGCTTCAAATATTCTACGCTCACGCATGCAGGTAAATTTAATAACACTTGAAAAATTATACCTTCGACTTCAAACTGTGATAAGTCTGTGAAAAAATCTTTGTTGAAAAAACATACTTGTCGTTCCACTGTACTTCTAAAATAGGTGCAGTTAATGTAAAACTCAAACTAAAAAATGAAACGTAGAAATTACTGTGACACGGCTGAATGCTTACTGAAAACACAATAGAGGAAGTCCAAGCGCTTTATCGTCATATAGTTGGACAGTTTTGAAGATAAGTAAATGACATTCGTAAAACTAATGACTATGTACAAATTTAGTCAAAAAAATGATAAGTAACTTCGTACAACTTTCCAAGTGGCTAAATTTATAAAATGAAGGTAAATTCTTACATCCAAGGCACGATTGATACGTTTTTCACCAAGGCAAAAAGTATAACCTTATCCGTAAGGGTTTTAAAAATTCTTAAGACCCTCGAAATAGCGTCAAAAAATATGCACCTTTTGAAGGTATGGTTTTCTTCAATATATCGTAAAAAATAGCTGTAGCGTCATGTACACATCATGAATCTTGAAGTACCTAGTGCATTACATCAAAAATCTTGAGGAGAATCTCGATGTGGCACATCTGTACCTACTTCTTGATTCTGGACGAAAAATGTACATCCCAAATGCCGAAGTATTTTGCGAGAGGGATAGCAGTACTAACGCATTTATCTATTCGAGTCACACATACACAAAATAATTACTCCGGGATTTGGGATGGACATCTTACGTACGCCCAAAATCAAGAAGTACGATGCGCTAAATTAATATTCTCCCAAGCCAAGCAGTAATTGAAAACCCGAACGAGCTACTTTAAATCGCCGTTATTTATCATTCGAGTGTTACTTTTTTCTCTTGGATAGCGCAAAAATCTAACAACTGGTATGGTCGAATTACAAGATTATTTAGACATTTAAATGTTATGAACAAGTAATTGTTTTAATTATTCCAATTTTTCTTGTTCTTCGCTGTTTTAATTATCATTATTTGTGATGCATTACTTAGAAAATAAATGTATCCCTTATAAAAGTATAATATTTATTAAATCCTGAAAATATATTGCCACTTTTGTTTTTGTAGGTCTCTCTATGCGACAGCCAGAGCACAGGTTTCAACACTTCAGACCATACTTGTGACATCTAATTTTTTAAATTCATCAAAAATAATCCGTTTAACGGATTTGAAAAATTTTAATGAGAATTTATTTATAACAATTAAATATCTAATTTTGTAATTTTAGCATGCTAGTTGCTGTATGATTCTCATGTTACCCCAGGTTTAAAAAAAAAAACGTGAGAAACAAATGATAAATAATGAAGGTACAGAAAATGTTTTCCTACGTAAATTTAAAGTATTAAAAAAAAAACATATCCCAGTGCACATTTTTCGATGCTATTTTGAGGACTTGCAATACAAAAATTACTATTAACACAGTATCATCGTTAAATATAGGTCTGGATAAAAAAATTAGCAACAAAAAATCATTTTTGTCAATGGGAACCGGGTCAAACTTCACCCAACATCTACAATAATTTTTATGAACAATTATGATTCCTCGTATGGAAATGAATATTTTTATAATAAAAATTTCATGATATACTAAGGATTGTGAAAGACATTTTCCTTCAAGTTTTCAAGTACGTAGGAATTTTTTGTCATGAAACATAAATAAAAATTGAGAAATTTTCGACACTAATAGTTAACTAATATTTAAAGGAGTTATTGATAAAATTTAATACAACTGGTCTTCAATTAATAAACCATTAAGAGCAAGCTTAGTTATCTTGATCTTCTGTGATTTTTTTACATTATAAAGTTAATTTAATATCTTTTCTCACGTCCAATATGAGATAAAACTTAGGACAATGTTCCTTACTCGTA